ATCCCTTTTGGCCACTGACACTTCATCATCATCTCTTTAGCTACGGCTTCTGCTTCTGCTTCTGCTCGAGCTCGAGCTTCTTCTTCCTCATCCACACCCAGTTCATTGTGAGACAACCTGTACCCGTCTCCGGCCCAACTCTTGCCACATGCCCTACACTCGGCTCGTTAGCTGAGCATAGAGCGCGTGTTAAGTGCTCTGACTCACGCCAAAGGGATTTGCTGCCAAAGCTATTGATGTTATAAGAGCGATTTTAATCATGCTCAAACATTGATATATAGACTTAAGAATTCTTTAATTGTATAATAAAATAAATATTTTAAAATCAATTCAAGTAAATTCTCTGCATCAACTGGCACCATTAATGTTATTGAAAATGTTATGTTAATACATAATAATATTTATATCTTATATATTTTTCATAAATTAAAATTACTTGAAATATTTTTTAGAAAAGTGCGACGCTTTCAAAGACAAAAAACAATTTGAAAAAAAAAATAAAAACAGTTTGCTGTTCATATATATTTTTTGTATATAAAAAATATATATATATGTATATAATTGTAAAGTTAAAAACTGCAAGCCATTTTCAAGAATTTGTAATTAAAATCAAATTAAAATAGTTCTTAAATAAATAATAAATAAAATATAAATAAATATTTAACCAGGCTTTTAATTTGTTTTCTATTAATTACAAATTAGAAATGAACTAAATTAATTTAAATTAAAAATAAATTAAATCAAATAAACTAACATAATTAAAATTAATAAAAAATATATACTAATAATTTTTTTTAATTTAAAATTATATTTTTATTACATTATAAATTTAAAAATATAAACTAACATATAATTAACTAAAAGAAATAAAATTAATAAAAAAAAATACACAAAAAAATTTTGTATAATTTAAAATTATATATAAAAAACAAAAATAAAGAAGTAATATTAATAAAAGAAATTAATTAAAATTAACTGAAACAAAGACTGAAAAATATAAAATATATGTATATTATCGTGATTTAATTAAATCAGAATATAATCTTTAAAATTATGCAATTAAATTATAATGCTGCACTATTTATTATTAATAAATATTATATAAATAACATGTTTTGATTTTCCCAATTCTATTTCCTTTATAATTAAGGTAGCGTATACACAGTTTCCCCAGTTGCTTTGCCTTTGGCTGCGACTTTTTGTTTTACTTTCAGACAGCGCTCGGGGCTTTATTATTCTTTGGCTGACAATGTCCCATAAGAAGTCGTCAGTTGTGACTGTTTTTGTGTGCCTTTGAGCAGCATGTTGTTTGGTTAGATTATCCAAAGGCCTCCCTGCCGCCCCTGGCACAGCCAGATGCCTCTAAACCGCAAAGGTCGCCACGCATAGCGTTGCAGCTGGTGCTGCGGCTGCTGTTGCGGATTCTGCGGCTGCTGCTACTGTTGTTGTTGTTGTCTTTATTTTATCTTTTTTTTGGTGACTTGTCAAGCACTTGGAATATTTTATAAGAAAAACTTGACCCGCTTTATGCAACAGCAGTTAAAACAATGGACGCGCAAAATTCGCGCCAGCCCACCCACACTTCCGCAAAAAAAAAATGTGTATGTATATATAACATGCCCCAACACAACCAAATACCCACACACAAACACCTCTCCGCTCCGCTCTGCTCTGCTCGCACGTTTCCCCACCCACACAGCACACCTGTATTTCCTCTCAACCACATTCAGTTGTCCCTCTTAAGCTCTTCATCTTGTTCAGCTGCTGTTGCCCCCTTCGCATTGTTTTTATCTTTTTATCATTGTTGGACGTTTGCTCTCGCGATGTTTTCTTTTTGTGGCCCTCATTCCGGCTCTTAATTAAAATTAACATTTTATAAATCCCACTTTAGACGGCATAATTACAAAAATAAAAAAATAAAAATAAAGAAAAATAAAAGAAAACGAAAGTCAGCATTAAAAAATAAGTTGATAAATATTTAAGACTAAAGCTGTTTACAGTTCTTAGTCCAAGTGTCGCTCTCACTCCATGCCACCTCTCCCTCTCCATCCCTCCCACTCTCTCTGTCTCTTTCACACTGTCTCCTTCTCACTCACTCAATTTGCCGTCGGCTCGACTTTCTGAACTTTTGTGACTGCTTTTCGAATTATCCTCAATAAGCTTTAAATTATATTTAAATATTTATTTATTTAGCTTTTCTGTGTGTGCCTGTGCTTTGGTATTTTTTGTCGGTATTTTGTGTTGGTATTTTGTAAGAGGAACAGCACAAAAAGGTCAAATAGTTTAACCTTTTTGTCTGCCAATTTAATTGAGACATTAAATATGAGAAAGGTCTTCGCATTTGCGGTCCCCGCTCATTGTTGAAACGTTGGCCGAGATTAAAATTACATAGCTCTGGCTTATATTTTAATCAAGCATAATAAATCATTTAGCCTTAATACACACACACGCACACGCATACAAACTGAAAAACTAATTTCCACATAATTCTGAAAAAGTTCACTCATATATTTCAATTCAATTTAGTTGCAGGCAAACAGATTAAAAAATTGAATACAACAATTGGTGTTGGTAGAAAAGCTCTATGGGAGACTTGCTTAATAGTAAATATTCTGTTGCATAGTTTTAGGATTTGTGTAAATTAGTGGCTTCAAATATGTTCAAGATAAAAATAGATAAAAATAAAAATAAATCCTTAAAAATCACAAAATTATTATAAATAAGAAAGATTCTTTATTCTTCAAAAAAAAAAAAATTAAAGTAAATTAAAATAAAATAAATAAAAAATCATAGAAATTAAATATACTAAAAGTTGTAGATAATAATCCGTTTAAAATACACACCTCTTTGTCTAACTTTCTGGTGGTCATCAATATCTCTATTACATATTAATAAAAAAAAAAATTTATCATAATCCAAATCTAATTGTTTATAAAATTTCAACTAATCTCAACTTTATTAATTAAAAAAGTCTCAATAACAAAAAAAATCAATGTAAAGGATTCAGCTTTGCTTTAGTTTTAATTGATTTTTTTTCTCTCTCAAACCCAAATTTCATTAAGTTTATGAAGTGCTCTTCACCTGCTTCAGCTTTCGGTTAATCAATAAACTTTCCTTCGCCTTAACGGTAAATGCAGAAACCAATCAAATATTGTCGCCATCTGCATGCCAAATAAATGGTCTCCAATGCCCCAGAGACAAACGTGGGGCAAAGGTCGAATGCCCAAAAAAAAATAACAAGAAGAAGAACCAAAAAAAAACCTAGAAAAAATGAGAAAGTCAGCAGCTGAATATATTTATTTCTCTATTTAACTTTTGCTTCTGGTTTTTGTTTTTGTTTTATTCTAGTGCGATAATTGAATGCATTACTCAGAGCACATAAGAAAAAGAGAGAGAGAGACAGAGACATAGAGTGAAGTTGAGCATAAAATCTCTTACCTTTTAAGGCTCTTTAACACTTTACTGCCCGAGATGTAAATGTTTTGCAGCATATTTTATGCGAAAAGTCATCAAAACTTTTGACAACACCAAACTTTTTGGCTGATTATTGTTGTTGTTCCTTTCGTTGTTGTTGTTGTTGTTGTTGTTGCATTCACTGCATGGACACAAAACTTTTATGCGGCACACTTAGTATTATATTTCACAGTGTTTTCTTTTTTATTTGGCATCAATAGAGAATCAAGATGAGGAGAAAAAATCACTCACACACATGCACACACTCACACCTACACGGCATACACGCACAAACGATCAGATCACTTAGCAAGGCATTCGATGTGTGCCCTCCCTTTGCTGCTGCTGTTGCTATCTCACTCACACAACACACACGACGCGTACAATAAATAATTTGTGGGTGCCCAGCAGCAGTGACGGAGAGACGGTGAAAAAAGTTTTCGTCAAATGCAAATAGCGTAAAGTTACACACACAAAAACAATACAACGAAGTCCGTGGCCGTTGCCGTTAGCGCAACCGTTACCGTTATATTATTATAGTATTAATTCTTATTTCTCGTTCGACTGCGTTTGCGAACCGAACGCGCGCGAGGCTCAATAAGAACTGAGACAGGAGCGAAAGCCAGCGCCAAGCGGCGTAGGTGAAGAACGGTAAACGGCTGGCGCTGTTGTTGCGGTTGTCTTTCAGCCTGTTACTTGTTGTTGCTGTGCCCGTAGTGCTTATCAGAAACAGCTGCGCGCCAAACCTCACAGCAGTTGAAGCGCCAAGCTTTGCCAAAAAGCTTTACAGTGTGCTCAAAAATATTGAGCATGGTAGGATTATGTGAGGGAATTCGATGCATTTTAGGGCAAATGTGATTGACTTAGTAATGTTTAGATGATTCTAACTAAATTTAAAAGTCTTGTTAATAATTAATATAATTTATAAAGTTTTATTTATTTAATTTACTTATTAAATGTATGTAAAAAAGTAAAATATTAAGAAAATAGTTCTTGCAGCAAATTTAAACATGAAAAAAATATAAAATATATAAAAATAAAAATAACCTATTCTATTTGTATTTTCTTATGCCAATAGTCATTCCATAAAGTTCAATTTGTTTACATTCATAAAACTAGGCACCATTACAGTGCTGTCCAAAATAAACAAACCAGCTTAAATATTAATTGATGTCGAAGCGTAAAAGGTGGATCAAAGCTAATTCTTAATGTTCTAGCTGAAGAGTACATACATAAAAGGCTACTTTTAATAGCTAAAAAGCTAAGCCGGCAGCTCTGTCACCGCGGACAGCCAAATGCACTCCATGCCAAATTCAAAGTCAAATTCAATTTGAATGCACTCTACAGCTCAGCTGTCAATCAATATGCTAATATCGTATCGAGAAAATAAGGAAGGCAAATATTTCCATATACATATGTGTGTATAAAAAGTTAACTAATTTATTCATTCAAGGGGAATGTTAAAAAGCTTTGATATATACTAAAATTGTAAATATAAAAAATATAATTAGTTCGTATTATTTTTGGTCCATAATTGTTGGAACTTAAGAGTCCCCTAATAATTCTCAGTGGTGCGCACATAGTTGACGCCCGATGGCATGGAGACCTTGTCGAAGCCCTTGGGGAACAGTTTGTGGGCGTCCGCGTCGGTGACGGAGGGCAGGATCATGACCTTGGTGCCGGGCTACAGTGGGGGTAAGAATAATAAGTTAAGTTCCAAATGCTATATAGTCTAAGAATTATAGACTTACAGTCCAATTGGCGGGCGTGGCAACCACCTTTAGGCGATCGGTCAGCTGCAGCGAGTCAATGGTGCGCAAGATCTCACTAAATAAATTACAGGGTATTAGATAAGCATGCTTAAATTCACTGAAAGCATTCCACGCCACTCACTCAACATTGCGTCCCGTCGACATGGGATAGAACATGGACAGGCGCACCTTATGATCCGGACTGATGATGAAGAGCGCCCGTATGGTCTTGGCCACCTCGGGATCCTGCTTTTGCTCCTCATCAAGCATGCCCAGCGACACGGCCAAATCGCGTGTGGGATCGGCAATGATGGGATATGGAAACTCGCCGGGAATATCCAGACAATACGACTTGATGTCATTCACCCAATCGACATGGGAGTCCAAGGCATCCACCGAATGGGCCAAGCACTTGGTATTGCGCTTGGCAAACTCCGGCTGATGGACAGCGATGCGACCCAGCTCTGTGGTGCACACGGGCGTAAAGTCAGATGGATGCGAGAAGAGCACCACCCAGCTAGAGAGGCAGATATAGTATTTATAAATATGCAATAATATTAACTACTAAACTACTTACGAGTTGCCCTGCCATTCGTAGAAGCTAATGGGACCCTTTGTGGTCTCCGCCTTGAAGTTTGGAACAGTTGCACCCAGACGCATTTTGATTAGTTTTTCTTATTTTATTATTTAAGCGAAGAGCGAATATTCACTTTATTTGTTTCTCGCTGAACTATCGAAGTCAACTGAATGACAACTCGACTGCGCGGCGGCCTTTTATACACACACGCCAAGCACACACACATACATGCAAACGACGCGAGCATCAAAGCAGCAGAGAAGAAGAGCGAGGAGCAAAGAGCGAGAGAACGGATCAACAGCTCACTAAAGCAAAAGCAAAGCTGGCATACAACTGTAATATTCACGTGTGTTTGTGTGTGTAGCTGTTATGCATGCATAGAATTGATTGTTATACACGCTACAATGCTGTAACACAGCTCTGTTATACAGTTGTTTATTTACAGCCCAAGCAATTCAAAATAATAATCACAAATGCAGCTGCTTATATTATATGAATATAATATATACACATTTTATAATAAATAATTACACAAATCGGTTTTAGGTTTAGCTGATGAAATCGGCCAATTGGACAACACTGTTGCCAAGCTAACTCTAAATGTCCGATTGGATAATTCGATACGTAGACCACAAAAATGAAAACAAAAACCGCAACAAAACGTAAACAGAGAACTAAATGGAAGAGCGTAAAAGTTTCTTTGTTAGTATTGGTGATTGGCCTGCGATTTACAATACACTCACACATTTTGCGCTCTTCTCACGCTCTCTATACGAACCGTGTGAAGAGAGCGTCGCTGGCTTTGAGTGTATTGGTAAGCTGCATAGATTTACCAATACTATGAAACACTGACGCTCAGCCAGGGCTAACTGTGTGAGTTCGTATGGGAACTTCGTGGAATTGAGCGCCTAACGAAGAGCGCAACAAGTTGTTTAGCTGTATTAGTGCCGCCCATAGAAAATACCAATACTAAGGTAGTTTTACGCTCAGTTTCGAGGTGTTTTTCTATCGGTGTAAGCATATTCGGATCGCAGTCAAAGTAAAGCCAAACAGATGCCTTCAGGCTGCCATGCAGTTTAGATCATAGAATATAAAGGCAGAAATAATTCTTGAGGATCAAAGAAAATAACTCTAAAATAATATTCATTTCCAGTACAGTTAGTTCATTTTTGTAGTTTTTGTTTCTTTCTCAAAAAGTCTGGAATCTACGACGCAATAAACTTGCTTCCACTTGAAATTCTCGCTGGTTATTTTCCATTCCATATTTGCTTGTCCATAAAAGTCGAAAGCAAAAACAATCAACAACAGGCAATCGCATTTGTATGCCGGACGATAAGAAAGCCGCAGCTAGGAGTGGGGGAGCAGATAGAGCTGCAGCGGAATGGGCCACGTGTTGAGCTAAGCGTATTCAACTGAAGGCCTGTCAAATCTAATGATATTCATACAGGGTGCCTCAGCTGTTTGTTGCAGCTCAAATAAAGGCCATGCATATGGTAGGACTAAGTAAAGTTTTAGCAAACTCCAACTTTATTCAGTTTGCACGAATGCCGGCTAGCAGCTAGGCCGGCCTAGTCTTATCACAGCTATTTGTCCATGAGCCCAGCTGAGCGTCCAAGTGCCTTTGTATTGGTATTTTCTATGGGTTAATCTAATACAGTTAAACATTTTGTTGCGCTCTGCGCCATTCGCTCAATTTCACAAAGTTCCAATTAGCTCTCTCTTACGAACTCACACAGTTAGCCTCGAGCTGAGCGTAACTGTTTCTTAGTATTGGTAAATCTATGCAGCTCACCAACACACTCAAAGCCCGCGACGCTCTCTTCACACAGTTTTCGTATAGAGAGCGGGAGAAGAGCGTGAGATTGTGTGTGAGACTGTGCTGTAAATCGCAGGCCACTCACCAATACTAACAAAGAAACTTTTACGCTCTTCAGGTTTTAAAGAACGTCTGTGGATAAGTCTTTGCCAAAATTTGCTAAACTAATTAAATCTTTGTTATTATTTTCCGTTCTTAGTCACATTTTAGAATTATATTTTATATTTTAAGCAAGCAGTAATATATGTATTTATAGCAAATATTGCCACGTTTACATGGATAAACATTGCTTGCCATCTTCCATATCTTTTTTACCGCTCTCTTTGTCCCCTGGAAAGTGTATAAAAGCGAATGAGTGACGCCTCTCTCGCTTAGACACAAAGCTTAATTCGCTTAAATCTAGATACAATTTTAAAATAAATATAAAATATATATATTAATATACTATACTTTATATAATAGGATCAAATCATGTCTCTCGTTTGCGTTGCCGATTTTGAGCAAAAGGCCAAGGAGCAGCTGGACCAAAATGTTCTGGATTATTATAAGAGTGGCGCTGGGGAGCAGATAACGTGCGGTCTGAACCATGAGGCGTACAAGAGGTAAAACTGGATACGCAATATTATATGCATACTCAAAATATGTATATTCATATTCCATTTCAGATTACGCTTGCGTCCGCGCTGTTTGCGCGATGTTTCCCGGCTGGACATCCGCAGCAAGATTTTGGGTGCGCAGCTCGCTTGGCCCCTGGGCATTGCGCCCACAGCAATGCAGCGGCTGGCGCATTCAGATGGAGAAATCGGCACCGCACGCGCCGCTGGTCAGGCTGGCTCCATCTTCATTCTGAGCACCTTGTCCACCTGCTCCATTGAGGAGGTGGCAGAAGCTGCGCCAGAGACTTGCAAATGGTTTCAGATCTACATCTACAGGAATCGGTGAGTGAATACACATGCAAATATATAAATAAGCCATTTGTAAACCCTTAATCTCTAATCCCTAGCTCCCTCACCGAGCAGCTGATAAGGCGCGCCGAGCTGGCGGGCTTCAAGGCGCTCGTCCTGACCGTGGACATGCCCACCAGTGGCGATCGTCGCGCGGATGCACGCAATCAATTCAGATTTCCGTCGCACTTGAGTTTGGCCAATTTCCAGGATGAGTTCACACAGAAATCCGTGAAGTACGCTGGCTCTGGGCTGAATGCGTACGTGACCAGCCAGTACGATGCGAGCATCACGTGGCAGGATATCAAGTGGCTGCAGCAGCTCACCCAGCTGCCCATCGTGCTGAAGGGCATCCTGACCGCAGAGGATGCCCGATTGGCCCGTGATGCGGGCTGTGCCGGCATCATTGTCTCCAATCATGGCGGACGACAGCTGGACACTGTGCCGGCCACAATCGAGGCGCTGCCCGAGATTGTCGCCGCTGTGGGCAAGGATTTGGTGGTCATGCTCGATGGCGGCATTATGCAGGGCATCGATATATTCAAGGCCCTGGCCCTGGGCGCCCAGGCCGTGTTCATTGGCCGGCCCGCTCTGTGGGGCCTGGCGGTCAACGGGCAGCGTGGCGTCGAACAGCTCCTGAAGATCCTGCGACACGACTTTGAGACCACAATGAAGCTAACCGGCTGCGCCTCACTGAGCCACATACAGCCCTCAATGGTGGTGCATGAATCCAGCTATTGGCAACCCGGACGATTTAAATAGATTTTTGTATTAATAAAATATTTTTAAGTTTATAAAATATACATATTTCCTGATATACATATACAAAGTTTCGTTGTTAGTATTGGTGAGTGGCCTGCGATTTACAATAAAATCCCACGTTTTACGCTCTTCTCTCGCTCTCTATACAAAAACTGTGTGAGAGAGCGTCGCTGGCTTTGAGTGTATTGGTGAGCTGCATAGATTTACCAATACTAAGAAAAAGTTACGCTCAGCTCGAGGCTAACTGTGTGAGTTCATAAGAGAGAGCTTAATGGAATTCGTGAAATTGAGCGAATGGCGCAGAGCGCAACAAAATGTTTAACTGTATTAGATTAACCCATAGAAAATACCAATACCACAATAAAGTTACGCTCAATTTACAGATGCTCTTCTATACGTGTAGAATCATTCGGATCATGGCAGTAGCCTAAAACTGGCGACTTCTTTAGATAGTGCAAGCCCGCCAAGCAGTAAGGATGAAATTTTATGAAGCAATGCGAGACTAACTTAAAAATATATATATGTATGTACTTGAATTGTTGTGTTATACTGGTGTTTAAACGTGTACCGCAATAGAGCAGCCCAATCTATGACACCTGGACAAAGTGCAAACCCATATACTTATATATACTAAATGTATATGTAAATCTATTGTAAATCTATAATCAACTTTAATATACGCATTTCTAAAGCATTTCTCTATCCAACAATATTTTTAAACTTAAAACGCAATAGCTTCAGAGTCGTTTGCATTTCTCTGGTAATTTTCCATCACATTGTTGATTAACAAATGTGTTTGTCAACAACAACAACAAAACAAGTCATAGTCATATTTGTATTCATAGCGCTTCGTGAAGTTATTTGACAAGCGTAGCCGTAGATAAGAACCGGATTTTTAGCCAATAGAGAGAAAACAAGCAGTACCTAACACGTTTACAGTTTAGATCTATTTCAAAGGTTACAATTTGTAGCAAAATGTATTTATACAAGCCAAATATTTATGAAACAGCAACAATTTTTCAAGGTAATTTCAAATTTCACTCACTTTCTCAAAATTTAAATCAATGCGCCTTATCGATAACATTTCTGTTATTGAGCACAGCTGAAATGGTCACTCTTAGCACACGCAGCACGCGTTACAGTTCAATGTCAAATGACATTGGCATTATTAACATACAGTTGGCTACAATTGTCAGAGTCGGTCACACTGCGCTCAATTCGAGGTAAAAATCTTAAACAAAAGTCATTTGTGTGATTTTAAAGTGCACTGAACTTTCGTAAAGGTAACGCAAATTCAATGTTTAATACTCGCAGTCAGTTAACCAAAATGGCATATTAACAAAACAATATCACAAGCAGACCAAATAAACACCAGACCCAACCATTTGCAATGCATTTATTTGGCCACCAGCAAATTTTTTCTGTATGCATGAGTGTGTGTGTGCGTGTGTGTAGACGACGGTGTGTGTGTGTACGCGTCTAGTGGTATGAGTGTGATTAGTGTATGTGTGAACTGTGTGCGGATGTGTGTGTGTGTATATGTGAACTGTGACTGGCTGCTGCTGCTGCTGCTACTAGGGGGAAAACAAAGAAAACTTCAAAAAAGAACGACGTAAAACGCAGTTGAAACGCATTTTGTTAACTGTAAAAGAAAACGTGAAGTGAGCATTTGGCTAATAACGCAATAGTGCTGCAATTTGGTTATTGATTTTTTATTGCATTCGCTGCATGTAGTTGTAGTTTAATTGTTGTTGTTGTGGCTGCAGCTGCTGTTGCTGCTGCAGTTGTTATTGTGTGCGTCGAAGAAAAAGCTGTAAACTGCTGTTATTTTGCTATTGCTATTTACCGTTGCTGTTGTGCATAATATTGTTGTTGCTTGTGTGGGGGCGGGGCGGAGGCAGAAACTGAGGCATGGCCAAAGGACGTTTTGTTTGTTATACTTGTGTATAAACACATACACACACGCACGCACGCACACACATGTTTGTTGCTGTTGTGTTTTGCTGCTTTGCACCTGCATCTATTTGCCTTCCACTTCATGATGCTCCATCCAGCTCACACCCACACTCACACATACCTCATGCCTGCCCATAGCCAGCACACTTTCATTTGTTTTTCTGTTCGTCGCTTTTAATTGCTTCAAATCTCTCTCAGAGTACGACTCCAACAAGAACAACAACAAGCAAACAAACAGAAAGAAACAAGCAACATTAATAGCAAAAATCTGATATATAGAATACAATAATAAAGAACAAACAGTTAAAGCGAAATATGGATTTTGAGCATGCCGATAACGATAACGATAATGAGCATAATCCGAATTTGTCCATGGAAAACAGCAGCGCCAGCAACAGCAGCAGTGGCAGCAACAATAGCAATTTAACAGCAGCCACTGTTAATGCAGCTGCAGTCAGTGGCGGCAGCACAGCTGCAGCTCTGTTATTTAACATAGAGGCTGAGCAAAGGCTCTTAACAGACACTGAACAAGAACAGCAGCAACAGCAACAACAAATTGAGGCTGATGAACATGAGCATTCACCCACTCCTATTCAACAGCAATTACCACAGGCAGACGAATCACGTGTCGAGGCTGAGCAGCAGGAGCAGGCGCAGCAGGAACAGAATCAGGATCAGGTTGAGCAGCAGCAGCAGGAGCAACCGCAGCCGGAGATAATAGAGGCGGACACCATTGCCGATACGATTGACGCAGGCACCATTGATAACGATAACGACGCCGTCGTGGAGCGCATTGACGATTACGACGACGAGGAGGACGAAGGCGGTGACGACGACCTCGAAGCGGAGGAGGAGGAGGTGCTGGAGGAGGAGGAGGCCGCCGTTGAAGTTGACGTTGACGCTGTCGTTGCTGCGCAGCAGCAGGCAGCCGGAACAGCTCCACCACCAGCAGAAAGCGCTGCCGTAGCAGGAACAGGAACAGGAGCTGCAGTAGCAGTAGCATCAGCATCAGGATCCGGATCAGCCAGTGGTCAGCAGCGACTCCATTCTGTTGCCGTTTTGCCCAGCTATTCCACGGCGCGTGCCCCACTGCCACCATTACTGCGTGCGCCGCGTAGCAATCACAACAACAACAGCAGCACTAGCAATAACAACAACAACAATAATACCAGTAACAACAATAATAACAATACCAGCACCAGCAGCAGCAACAACAGCAGCAGCGCCGCAACGAGTTCACGACACACGCGTCACTTCTACAGCAACAACGGCAGCCACTTCAGCAACGAAATGTACGCCGGCGGCCACAAATCGAGCAGCCAGAGAGATGGGCACAGCCAGAGCCACAGTTCATCTCGGTTGGCAGGAGGCAGCGGCGGAGGTGGTGGCGGGAGCGGCACACGAAACGCAAATCAATCGGGCCATCAGGGCGTCGATCCCTTGCGTCTGCTCTATCCGAATGTGAATGAGAACGAGACGCCGCTGCCACGCTGCTGGAATCCACATGACAAGTGCCTCAACATCGGACTCTCGCACAACAATCTGCGTGTCACCTACAAAGGTGAGTGTTGGCCAATTATAACCAAAAAAAACTCATAATTTACAGACAGAGCATAGCATTATGTTAATGAGCTGCTGGAATTGTTAAGATATGTTAATTACAAACATATATGAGAACAGCTTCAGAATTTACACACGGCGTATGACGTCGTAAGTTAGTTTTACGGCTAAAATATATTAATCTTATAATTCACATGCGAAAACAGCTTAAGGATTTACATGCAGAGTGTAACATTATGTTAGCTTTTAGAACTTAAAATATGTTAATTCATGTTAATAGGAAGCTATGTTAACTCAGCTCTTGCACAAGTCCTCCTATGTTATTAACATAACATAGACGTGTTGAAGAATTCAATTGTTTTTAATTGTCGATAAATAAGTTTGACCGCAGTGAGTCATATATATCTGTTAAACATTTTATACTGATCAATTTTTATTGTATATTCATTCATACATATAAGCACTTTTATGTATTTAAAAACAATTCATCCAGTGCATACAAATTAAGCTTAATTAATTGATACAACTTCGAAATACAGTTTATTATTGTATTTGCTGCTACATCTTCCTCTTCCTCTCGCAACGCAGCCAACAGTAATAACAGCTGCTCAAGCTGCCATTTTTGGGCAAAGCAAGTGAAAACGCCAACGCGCTGGTTTCAGTGGCGACCCCACTGCATGCAAGACGCGCGCACACACACTGGTTGTCTCGCTTGCACTTGTGCGAGTGGTGGTAGCTACTGTTTTTGTTTTTTGGCGCCCACTTCTCACACGCTTATTCGCGTTCTGGCAGACGCTTGTGTGAGTGATTGGCAAACAGCTGATTGGCTGCATACACAAGCCACGCGCTGTGAACTGAGGCAATTACAGTGGGCATTCGCTGATGAAAAATTTGTATAAATAATTGTAAATGTAAAATACACAAATGTATTTACAGAAAATATCAGAAGTACTTTACAGTAATGTTTAGCCCATTTTTATAATAGTTTTAAGTAGTGTTGTGCAGTTAATCGTGTCCTCACTGTACTCACATACATTTCGTTGCAGGCGTTGGCAAACAGCACAGCGAGGCAGCTGGCTCTGTGCGCACCGCATACCCAATACCACCGTCCTGTGGCCTATATTACTTTGAGGTGCGCATCATTTCCAAGGGACGTAACGGTTACATGGGCATTGGACTGACCGCTCAGCAGTTTCGTATGAATCGTCTGCCAGGTACGTATTGTGGGAAATAGAGATAGCGAATTCATGTAGCAAACACACTCATCACACCATTTGATTTGTCTGAACAGGTGGGGATAAACAGTCGTATGGCTATCATGGTTACGATGGCAACTCGTTCAGCTCTTCGTGCAATGGGCAGTCGTATGGACCCACTTTCACCACCGGCGATATAATTGGCTGTTGTGTAAATTTTCTGAACAACACTTGTTTCTACACCAAGAACGGCTTCGATCTGGGCATCGCATTTAGAGACTTGCCGGTTCGTAAACATAAATTGACCTTAATTAAATATTATATAACATTAATTAATGCCCTTTGCAGACCAAACTCTATCCGACGGTGGGCCTGCAAACGCCCGGCGAGGAGGTGGATGCCAATTTCGGCCAAGAGCCTTTCAAATTTGATAAAATTGAGGAAATGATGCGAGACATGCGCGCCACCATCTTGCGCAAAATCGACAGATATCCACATCTGCTGGAGACTCCCGAGAATCTAATGAACAGGCGAGCTTGCAAATATTCATATTGATTAGGTATCAAATAAATAATTGATATTTTGTGTTTTCAGGCTGGTCTCCACATATTTGGTGCATAGTGGTTACTGCAAGACTGCGGAGGCCTTCAATGCCTACACACATCAGCCCTTCGACGAGGACTTGGCCTCAATCAAAACACGTCAAAGTGCGTAGCAAAAACTTGGTTTTTAGTAATAGCTGCCAGCAACTGTATTCATAAATTAATTTATGTATATATATATTTGCCATACACCCAAGGCAGCTGTTACTTAGTTCATCTTAATCTTAGCGTGTAGCTAATTCACATAATGTTCTCTTTCAGAGATAATCAAGCTCATACAGACAGGCAAAATGAGTCAGGCCATTGAGAATACGCTACGCGCATATCCGGGCCTCCTCGAGAACAATAAAAATCTTTGGTTTGCACTCAAGTGTCGCCAATTCATTGAGATGATCAATGGCGCTGACATTGAGGTGAGTCACTAAATATTTAAGCACATGCATTATATAAAACCAAGTCAATTTATATTTATCTAGCACGCCAATAACAAAGTGACCGCCACCACACAGACCATGCCCACAAATCAAACGTCAGTCATACAGTCGACCAAGGCGTTCAAGCACAGCAAATCCGGCGGCAATATTAGCGGCAACGGCAGCGGCAATGGCAGCGCCAGCACCAACACCAACACCAACACCAACCAGCCACAAAACAACACTGCGAACTCAGCTGTGATAAAACCAGGCGATAAAACAGATCCCAAAATGTTTGTATTGCAGCTAAAACAAAATAGCCAAAAGAAGTTCTTTTTTAATGCAATATAATATGCTTGGCATTTGCAGCATGATTATTGATGACAACTCCAACAAGTGCCCGGAGCATGATTCAAATAGCATGGATGTGGAAATGGAGCCTTGCAACAGTCACTCCAATGGTGCGTTTCCATTTAGATAACTAACTATTATTAAGTGGGTGTATGGAATGAGTTTAGATTATTATCTAATCGGGGTTAGCCAAAGTGTTTAGCTGATGAAGGGCATATACTACAGCAACATTGTATATTATACAGTTTATTTTAATGAATATATTTTATGTAGTATATGAAACATTGCTGTATATAGCTTTACTGATTGATAATGATTGAATTTTAGAGCCTGAACGAAAGAAGCCAGACAAACGAATTTTAAATTGGCATTGAACTGTAAACTGATTCAAATTCTATTTAAAACTAGTTAAGAGTAGTTGAGGGGTATTTACAAAAAAAAAAAATTATATCTTGATTTCCCATTTTCTATGGAAATTAAGGGTATAAAAAGGCAAACTTAAATGTTCCGCATTAATTCTATCCATTTTTGAGCTGGGCATATAAATTTAACAATATTATAATTGTTAATTAATTGTATGTTATAATTTTTAAGCAGATTCTAGTTCAAAAAAAAGCAAAGCTGAATGCATATTTATGTATAACATAGCTTCAAGAAATGCAAACAAAACTGTAAATTCAAGAAGACATGGAACCGTGACAAGAATTCAAGAAGAAGTCTAAAATTGGGTACTAACAAACTTAGGCAAAGATGTTTAAGAAATATCAATGAAATTTTGTTCAAGAAAACTGTGTTTACTAACCAAAGAAGAAGACGAAATGTGGACGGTAAGAAAAGCTCATACGATTGTAATTTGCCAAAATGTAGAACGGAGATGTCGAAACGAGTTCAATTTGATAATGAGTGTAGATATATACATATATATATATATATATAAAACTTGAATATATTTAAGCTCACATTAATAAACGCTTCATCCATCTATTCAGGCGACTCCTGTTCAAATGGCAATGCCAGTGTAGCACGTAACTCTCTAGATGCCATCGATGAGGAAATGGGTATGAAGAGAATATCCTATCAAATTAAACAATTTTATATTTAATTATTCTTCCCAGATGTAGATGTATCGCCCTCATCGCGCAATTATGGGCGTGTCATTGAGAAGATATTAGAATTCGGCAAGGAACTGTCTAGCATGGGCCAGCAGCTAGAGAAGGAGAACCTCATGACTGAAGAGGAGCGTCAAATGTTGGAGGTGAGAGAGGAACTCAATAGTAACCAAGAGTGAAATGATTTTAAATTTCAATTTTCTAATATATTTAGGATGCATTTAGCTTGATTGCCTACTCAAATCCTTGGTCCAGTCCCTTGGGCTGGCTATTGTGTCCCTCGCGACGTGAGAACGTTTCCACCACGCTCAACTCAGCCATATTAGGTGAGTAAACTCGAGCTGGATCTAATTGCTTAACTAATTTGTGTTCTATCTCTTTGTAGAATCGCTCAATTTTGAGCGTCGGCCACCGCTGGAGTATTTGGTGGCGCATGCGGCTGAGCTATTGAAGCTCATCGGACAGAATTCGTTGGGCGAGGATGCTTTCATTACCATCGACGATGTGTTCCCGCAAAATTGACCCAGTTCGCCGACGCTGCTGAAGATGTTCGAGACCACGCTGACCTTGCCGCGCACCAGCGTGCTAACCGAACCGCTGGGCAGCGTGCCAACCACATCGACGGCCGCTGTGCAAACCACCAAACGGCGGCGACGGCGTCGCAACAAGCGTCGTCGCAAATCGTCCATGTCGAGCAGCGAGGCGACCTCAACCCGAACCTACGATCCCGTCATGACAGCGACCAGCATACGCGGTGGCAATTCAGCTGGTGGTGGTGGTGGTGGTGGCAGTGGTGGTGGTGTTGGCGGTACAGCACGTCGTGGTCGCCATCGAGGCGTCAGCAGCAGTTCCGCATCAGCAACAGCTGTGGCAGCAGCGGCAGCGGCAGCAGCAGCAGCATCGGCATCAGCATCGGCAGCGGGTTCGGCAGCATCATCATCGGCCATGAGCGGTGGCAGCAGCCCGGCGCTATTTGTGGATCCGCACGACTTCTTCGAGACGCTCGACTAGATTAGGATAAAGATTAACGAAAACGATCTGTGTAATCTGCATCTCTATCTGTATCTGTAGTAGGTTAATTCTGTTGTTACTTTACCACTTTTTTTACACGCATCAACTGTGCGCCTATTTAAGTCCTTCTTTTAACTGATGCCGCGATAATTCATGCAATAATTGTGTTTCTGATTTAGCGAGATTTTTAAATGCAAAACAAAACAAAACTAAAAACAAAAAACAAACGTTTTACAACATATTTTTTATATACATTAGCCTTTCGGATATAAGTAAAAAATGGAAAACCGCAAAAAAAACAAACAACAAACAACAATTATGTGTAATATTATTCTTATGTATAATTAAAATTTATAATTGAAGTCCCCTAATCGGAAATTAACTGGCTAAAGTCGATTGTGTTTGTATTGTTTAAAACCAAAATAATGTTTACTTCTTTATTATTATTTAATTTAAATGGAGCTCTTTTTAAAATATTTAAAACAAATAATAAAACCTGTTCATTTAAATTTAAAACTAGAGTTTAAAGAAATTTAATCGCTTGAATCAACTGCTAATTAACGATATATAGATATATAAAGCTAAACAATTGTGAACAATTCAAATAAAATAGAATTCATTAACTTAATGTGTGATCGATTTAAGAGATCGAATCAATCCGACTTCTATATATGTACGAAAATATTTGGGGCGCAATAGCAAGAGAATATAAATTTCGATCAATTTTTCAAAAAGTGCAAGTTTTAACTGTAATAATTCGCAACTAAAGTGAAACTTATTCGATAAGCATATACATTCAGACATCGTTTATATATATATAATATAATAATATATATACATACATATATATATATATTATCATATCTGTATTACATGAAAATTATAAAGAAAAGACAAGAAATTGAATTTTCCTTTAGTTTTTGCTTTAACACAGAATTGATTTAAGAACATTTATAATATGCAGCATTGCTTAATAGCTTATAGATACTTGATTATATAATAGGAATTTACAAGTCCGGCTGCCTGATGCGCTGCACACGTTCCGTATTTTTGACATGTTGCTTCAACAACTTCATGACATCCGTATCGTATTCCGGCGGCGTTGGCTTCGTATTTGTTGCCCAATAATAGATATCCCAATCGTTGCTTACGCCATTGATGAGCTGATCGTATTGAGCCGTCTCCTCGGCATCGAAGTCCTTCAGGTATTTGGCCACGAAAGTGCTCAGGAGCAAATCATTCTCCAGCATTCCGCGTTTACGCGATTGATATAGGAGTCTGGCAGATGAAAATTGATTAATTTTTTGAACTATACTTGTAGTATAATCTACACACCTTTGCTTGCGTGTCTCAAGCGGCTCATCGGGTCTGATGGGATACTCTGGCACTGGTAAATGGGGCGATTCTTCGTAATCAATTATTTCCGGCGGAGTTGAGTACTCGATCTTGTCGGGCACATTTTGTTTGCCGCTCATGCAGCGTGTGGGTGAGACCAGTAAGCGGCGCACAGATGCAGAGTTCTAAGAGAGGCTATACTTATCTACTTTTTTCGTTAAATTAATTTATAACTTACCAAAACTTGACGTAACATTTTAGTTGTTTTTCTTAAATTCACAAACACGCAATTGCGGTCAGCTGTTTGTTGCCAGGGCTGCAGCAATGCATGCAACTCTTGTGTCAACAGCGAAATGGTAGCAAGGAAAGTCTGTTATTAACAGTTATCATTTAATTTGACTTAAATATCTACCAGAAGTACTTATAAGCTCTTAAATTTAGGTCTTTTTAAAATTTACAATAGCATTCAGTTGCAGTTTAACAAGTGTATATTCCGCAATATTGGTCTCATTTGAATTCCAACTGTTACACCAATAAGAAAGTTAACAGTGCTGCTAATTAGCAGAGTGATGCCACATACAGCGCGCGAAATGTAAACAAAGTGCATGGAGCTAGTGGTCTGGCAATGCCAGATTCAGTTTGAAAGAGACAGCGAGAGGCAGCAAAAGTGTGTTACAAGTTTTTGCACACCCGAAATATTCCAATTAAATTAGAATTAATGCAATTTGAAAGCAAAGTGCTAGTGCTGAACATTGTGCAACGGGTAATTGTGAAATCTAATGTGTTATCAATTTTCAAAAATGCCATGCAATTAAATCTATAAGAAACTGAAAAGCCAACAAGCAAACGGGCGGAACAAGAGGGTGGCCTCCGTGCTGCGCTGCTCTGCTCTGCTCAGTTCAGTTCTGCTCTGCTCTGCTCAGTTCGTGTGTGCAAGTGTTGTGTGTATACGCTGGCGCTGGAAACTAGGCGGTGGTAAAATGTAAAGCCGAAAAAAAAGAACGAAACGAAGAAAATTGCGCTCACGCTGCTCGCCCTGGCGGTGGGTGGGAGAATGTGTGTATGCGTATGAAAGTGTGTGTGTGTGTGAAGAGTGCGTGTGCGTGTGCGTGAGAGCGCGAGCGCGAGCGTGTGAGCAGCGCGGCATGAAACTACTAAATGGAAATTTATACAAGCGCCTAAAACACCACCCCCAAGCAACCACCCAACTATAAAAACCGAAAAACGCGACGCACCCACGCAAAAGCCGCATAAAAAAAACTAAATGTTTCCCCATCGAGTCGCAACAAAACGCAGCATCATCATCAAAATGGGCCAAAGGAGGCGCGGCGACTGGCAGATCGTCTCCAGTGTGACCACGCGTCGTCTTAGCCGGCTATGGCCAGCCGTTTAACACATTTTTTTTGCGCCCACGCCCACATCTTGCAGACACTCACACACACATATATGTATGTACATATACAACATATATGTATATATTACATATACAGAAAAAGCAGGACCTGGCCACACCATGCACAATATTTCCCAAAAACATGATAAATTGCCAAAAAGGCGGAAATTTTTTCGCTCTCCATTTCATATGTTTTTTTTTCGTAGTAAATTTCAATAGCATTTTCTGATTAGATAAATGGAATTGATGAACATCTATATAGATACAAATATATATGTATCTATATTTAGTATATTACATATTTTCCATTCAAGCCATATGTAAATTGGTTAGAGCAGTGCCTGCTGCTTGCTCTCATTGCTGTTGTTGTTGTTGCTGTCCGCTGATAACAGCGTAATACAACAACAACAAAAGCGCAGTTCAATTATAGCTGCACGCGCCCTATTGGACAGACAGACAGTGGCGGCCATAAAATTAGGCGCACTTGTCAAGTAGTTATCTCAATGCCGGTGCGTGGCTGTGGCTGTGTATCTGTGCGTATGTGTGTGTGTGTGTGTGTGTGTGTGTGACTCATTGGTCATTGAGTTGGTGTTGTTTTTGTTGCTGCTGTCACTTCCCGTGGCCGAACGGCTGAACGCTCAGTTATTATTGTTTATGCAGAACAAAAATCCAATTGGATGCTGCGCACCATTTCCCTTAAACGAATTAAAATATATAATAAATAAATAAATAATACCTCCGTTTGCAGTGTGTATATTTGTAATTTTAAGCATTTTGTAAATAAGACAAAACCAAAATAAATAACTAAAATAAAAGCTGCGCACTTGCTGTCCACCCAATAAGAAGAGATCCCCTTAACATAACTGACAAGTGCTGCCAAAGCCACAACAAAAGAAACAACACAAAATCAACCAATAAGCAAATAATATAAGCTAAACGCAACAAAGTCTAACAAAATGGGCTGCACTACATCGGCTGAAGAGCGCGCTGCCATACAACGTTCCAAACAAATCGAGAAGAATCTGAAAGAGGATGGCATTCAAGCGGCAAAGGACATTAAACTTTTGCTACTCGGTAAGTGCAATTTACAACAATTTATAACAATAACAACAATAATATATAATATAAGAATAACATAATGCAATCATATTTCCACTCACAACTTTCGCCCAGGAAGTCGTCGCTGTGCGTCGTTTCCCTCCTATGTTTTTTCCAAACAAAATAAGAGACAGAAAAAAAAAGAAAAAAGAATGCAAAAGCAAACAATATCATCATCTTCTTCTTCTTCTTCTCTTTGATACCTACATAAATGGAATTTCTTTATCAGTTGCGAGTTGCAAAGTGCACTTGAGTTGTTTAAAGTTCCTCTTCCTCTACTGCCGCTATCCCCCTCTCTATCTCGCACTACTGCAGGCTCAATTACTTTAAGGCCCAGGCACAGTGGTGTGTGTGTGTGTCTGTATGTGTGTCGGCCGTGAAGGTTTTATGGCTGAGAGATAGCATATGTTTTGTTATTAAATGAATGTAAACGGAAACGGCCCATTTTTGATAAATATTAATTTTATTGCCTTACCTTAACATTAAATAAATATATATTTTGAAGAAGAAATTTAGTTGGAATATGTATTTTCGATAAGGTTTTATTATTCCTCCTACTTTACCCAAACTAAATATTTCAAATTCTTTACCTTTTGCCAAATTAAACATTTAAAATACTTTTCCTGTCAATGACTGGCTTTATTCTTGGCCAATAAACTTTGGAGCTGTCAATGACAAGAAACTAAGCCAAAAAATAAAGAATAAATAAATAAATAAAATAAATATAAAAAACACAGCAGGAAAAGTTAAACGTAACTCAAGGCTGATGCATCATCATCCAGTGGCATGATAATTTATTCTTAGCGTGTGTTGCTGTTGTTGTTGTTTGTATTTGTTGCCTTGGCCACGCAACAAAAACGACCAAAAAGTATATAGTATGAGCCGAAAAAGAAACAACAATTGGGTCAAATGCGATGCTTGCATGTCATCCCATTGTCCGGCTCTCGTTTTCGTTTCTCACTCTCAGCTCCAAAACTCATCATTCCCATTTTCTTTGCTCATTTTCGCTCGAGCTGTTGTTGCTGTTTGCTATTGTATTTGTTGTTGTCTCTTCTTCTTCTTGTTCATGTTTTCTGGCCAGATTCAAGTGCTCATACATTATGCATTGCAGTCAAGTTTTCGACTAATGACAGCTGACAAATCGACGGGCATTTAGCGCAATGCATTTTTAAGTGCACTTAGACCACGGTGCAACAGTTGCAACTACAGCAGAGCGTGCCCGCGTGTATGTGTGTGTGTGTGTGTGTTTGTGTGTTTGTCTATGCAACAGACGCATCGCTGTTAAAGATGCGGCAGGCTCAAGTATGCGCCTTTGCCTATAAACAACAGCTACACTGAGAGAAAAGAGAAAAATTAATATTTTAAAATTCATATTTATTGTTAACAGAAATAATTATTTTTTTTTTTTTTAATTTAATTAGAGTTTGTATTCCATAAATTTTAAATAATATTTTAAAATGTTTATTTATTTATTAATTTTTTTTTTTTCAAATTTAAATGCATAAAAAATGCTTAAAAATTTAAATATTTCAAATATTTATAGATGTATTTTTATTATAGACTTTTACTTAATTCCTGCTGCACCTATTTACTCTCATTTCTCTATCACACTTCTTACTTTACTTCCCTATCCTATACTCACTGCATTTCTCTCAGTGTCTTTGCTGTCGCCTGTCTGCATCCGCCAAAACGTCACTTGACACTCAAGCGCCTGCACGTGTAGCTCAACCCGGTGATTGACATGGAACCGCAAGCCATGCGCCATGACACCAAACTAGGGAAAGGTTCAAGTGTGGTGCTGCGGTGCTGCGGTGCTGCGGTGCGGTGCTGCGGTGCTGCTGTGGTGGCTACATGACAACGGGTTCTTTTAAACGGACAACTTACCCGGCTGGCAGCTAAGCACTTAAGCAGTTTTGCAACCCATTGACATTGACATTGGTGTCGCGCGCTAATCCCGTTTACCTGAATGCCACGCGCCAGATCCCACACACACACACACACACACCCAAATAAAGAAGAAGTACGCGTTTCCGTTGGTCGTGCATATGGGTGGGATATCTACATATATAACAATCAATTGGAGTAGGTTCTGGGAAATTGGAGTTGATGGATATTGAAACTAAATTTAGTTGGAAGTAGAAAGTAATTTTGATCAAGTTTAAGTACTTGAAATGCTGTAATAACAAAGCAGATTTTTATTGGGAATCTGACTTATTGGATAATGATATTTATAGGCTCTCTTTAGAGTTCAATGAACCTTAAGCTTGAATGGAGTGATAGAAGAATATATTCAATAGGCCTTAACAGAATTACGAATCGACATCATATATTATAACCAAAATCTGATATTAAAAGAGTTTAGTTTTAGTTCCCATATTATAGAAGAAATTTGCTGTTGTTTTTCTGATTCCTCATTGCTCATTTCATTATTTCTTTTATTATTATTGGCATTGAAATTGCTTGTCAACAGATTTCAATGAATTTTATGGCTACAACTAAAGCCCTTGCTTCGTTTTTACGACTTGCTATGCGCACAGTGCTTAGTGCTCAACGACGTTGATATATAGACACATATGTTAACAGAGAAGATATATAGATAGAAGAGATAGAGTCTATTGCAAGCCTCTTAAACGAAACCAGCTTAGCGTACGTAATGTATTATAGAGAAGGATGAAACTGGCATTGGCTATAAAAGTGAAAGTTAACATTGTATATGAGAATATGATATAATATAAGGAAAGAGGCAGTCCATATTGGACAATAGATGCCTCTTAATATGCATGCTGTGAGTAAAACTGGAAATGGTCTCTACTCCAATAATGTAGAAGAATGTAGAAAT